TTATACAACCAAGTTTTTGTATTTCTCTTGAAAGAAATACAGAGGGCCTTCTCGGTAGTGGCACCCACCCTGTGGAACGCCCTCCCATCAGATGTCAAAGAGAAAAATAACTACCAAACTTTTAGAAGACATCTGAAGGCAGCCCTGTTTAGGGAAGCTTTTTAATGTTTAATAGGTTATTGTATTTTAGTGTTTTGTTGGAAGCCGCCCAGAGTGGCTGGGGAAACCCAGCCAGATGGCCAGGGTATAAATTATTATTATTATTATTATTATTAGCATCATCATCATCATCATCTTAGGACATACAATATCAGAAGCTTGCTAACATTGGCAAATATTATTGTAATAAGACTATATCTATTTCTTTTTAAAGTTATCTAAAGTTATCTGCATTTGTGATTCATGAACTTCAGATTGACTTTGGAATTCAAATATACCATCGTAACTAATAAATTTCATGTTAATGTCTGTCATTTCTGGTACATTTCTGAAGCATGTCACGGGTCTCCATTCTGAACATGAACCCAAGTTTTCCGTATTGTATATTTTATCTAAAAGTTGATGCAGCCCCATCAAATAATTTATGGGGGCGAGACACAGTGGGACCTTGGCCCCTAGGAGTTGGCTCTTATGAGTATAGCTAAGCAGCCATATTTCCTTGGTTGTTCATTAACTTGTACATCACCTAAAAACTTGTATCCACTACAAATTCTTTCTCTAGAATGAAATATTTTGCCATACTGCAAACATTTCACAATGTGAATGATAGACTTTGAAAAGCAATGTGTAGTGTTAATAAGTTGAATTAGCTGGAGGATCTTAAAGGGGGAAAATAGACATTAAAATGTTCAAAGCTGCCACCGTTCCTCCTACCTTGTAATGTGTAATGTAAACATTGTATAATGTGTGAATCACCATCTGCCATCCCCTTGATTTGTGGCTGGCAGGGGGAAGCCAAGTCTTAGAAAGAAGGCAGTGGAAAAAATATATAGAAAGACAATGCAGATAATGCACATTTTGTAATGTTTAGTTTGGCTCTAACTCTTATTAGGTCCGTAAGCATTAACTTGCACTCCTTCATCCCATTTCAGTTTAACATGGTGGGACAGAGTTGGCAGAAGAGAGGTTTCAGCAACTTTGTTGTATGGAACTGAAAACCATAACCAGCTCTTTTGTATCTTTCAATTTATCCTATCTCATAATTTCCTGTAATTGGTGGTTTAGGCCATCTGTTTGGCTAGCATAATACCGTGTACAATATGCTGCTGGCAGGTATCTGTTGAACGGTGGCCACAAATTGGAGAAGCTGACACGAGTAGCCTGGGCTCATCTATCACAAAGCATTTGAAGATGAAAGGGATTTCGTCTTGGTTGTAACATGTACAAATGGCTGCTGGGAGAGTTTCTGCTACATGTTTCTAGTTTGTCCCTTGCAGAGTCCTGCAAGCTCAGTACACAGTGTTCTTCAACCATGGCTGCCCAGATGTGGTCCCATCATCTTCTGCTATAGCTTAGGGATGATGAGAGTTGTAGCCCAACAACATCTGGGTACCCAAGGTTGAAGAACATAGAGTATGGCAGTTCAGCTTATTGAGGCTGTTCAAAAGAAAGCTTTTTTTGTTTGTTCGTTACTGTCTTTAAAAATCTTAGTATTCTTACGTTCAAGATATTAGTCCTGCAACAAAATCCATGCCAAGGCAGCCAAACTGAGAACCAAGAGTAGTGAAGAGCGTAATTCATATAAAATACAGCTTGTCCCACAGAGACTGCCTGGTGCTCAACTCACCTGGTATTGAATTATTTCTGCAAGCTCAGGGCAGATAAAGTTGTTGTTGTTGTTGTTGTTTAGTCGTTTAGTCGTGTCCGACTCTTCGTGACCCCATGGACCAGAGCACGCCAGGCACTTCTGTCTTCCACTGCCTCCCGCAGTTTGATCAAACTCATGCTGGTAGCTTCGAGAACACTATCCAACCATCTCGTCCTCTGTCGTCCCCTTCTCCTTGTGCCCTCCATCTTTCCCAACATCAGGGTCTTTTCCAGGGAGTCTTCTCTTCTCATGAGGTGGCCAAAATATTGGAGCCTCAGCTTCACGATCTGTCCTTCCAGTGAGCACTCAGGGCTGATTTCCTTCAGAATGGAGAGGTTTGATCTTCTTGCAGTCCATGGGACTCTCAAGAGTCTCCTCCAGCACCATAATTCAAAAGCATCAATTCTTCGGCGATCAGCTTTCTTTATGGTCCAGCTCTCACTTCCATACATCACTACTGGGAAAACCATGGCTTTTACTATACGGACCTTTGTTGGCAAGGTGATGTCTCTACTTTTTAAGATGCTGTCTAGGTTTGTCATTGCTTTTGTCCCAAGAAGCAGGCGTCTTTTAATTTCGTGGCTGCTGTCACCATCTGCAGTGATCATGGAGCCCAAGAAAGTAAAATCTCTCACTGCCTCCATTTCTTCCCCTTCTATTTGCCAGGAGGTGATGGGACCAGTGGCCATGATAAAGTATGGGCCAACAATTCAGTGGGTCACTGGACTTCTTAGCATGTTTTTTTTTTAAAAAAATATATAATTACAGTGGTACCCCGCAAGACGAACGCCTCGCGAGACGAAAAACTCGCAAAACGAAAGGTTTTTTCGTTTTCGAGTTGCCTCGCAAGACGAATTTCCCTATGGGCTTGCTTCGCAAAACGAAGCTTGCCCCGGGGACAGCGGGTCTTCTCTTTTGAAGCAAGGGGCGGCGGGGAGATCGCTTCTCCCCACCGCCCCTTGCTTCAAAAGAGGTCTGCCCCCGGACCTCTTTTGAAGCAAGGGGCTGCGGGGAGATCGCTTCTCCCGGTGCTCCGAAGCGGGGTGGGGGGGCGGGAACACCTGCCCCAGCCGCCGGGCTTCGTAGCGCTGCTGCGAAGCCGGGCGGGGGGGGCGGGAACACCTGCCCCAGCCGCCGGGCTTCGTAGCGCTGCTGCGAAGCCGGGCGGGGGGCGGGAACACCTGCCCCAGCCACCCCGCTTCGGAACGCTGCTCCGAAGCGGGGGGGGGGGGGGGCGGGAACACCTGCCCCAGCCGCCGGGCTTCGTAGCGCTGCTGCGAAGCCGGGCAGGGGGCGGGAACACCTGCCCCAGCCACCCCGCTTCGGAACGCTGCTCCGAAGCGGGGTGGGGGGGCGGGAACACCTGCCCCAGCCGCCGGGCTTCGTAGCGCTGCTGCAAAGCCGGGCGGGGGGCGGGAACACCTGCCCCAGCCACCCCGCTTCGGAACGCTGCTCCGAAGCGGGGTGGGGGGGTGGGAACACCTGCCCCAGCCGCCGGGCTTCGTAGCGCTGCTGCAAAGCCGGGCGGGGGGCGGGAACACCTGCCCCAGCCACCCCGCTTCGGAACGCTGCTCCGAAGCGGGGTGGGGGGGCGGGAACACCTGTCCCAGCCGCCGGGCTTCGTAGCGCTGCTGAGAAGCCGGGCGGGGGGGGCGGGAACACCTGCCCCAGCCACCCCGCTTCGGAACGCTGCTCCGAAGCGGGGTGGGGGGGCGGGAACACCTGCCCCAGCCGCCGGGCTTCGTAGCGCTGCTGCGAAGCCGGGCGGGGGGGGCGGGAACACCTTCTGAAGGCGGGCGGGGGGCGAAAGTCTTTGTCCCCCCTGCCTGCCTTCCCAGGGGCTTTTAAATCGCCCCGGACAGCGGAGAAGTCCTCCGCTGTCCCGGGGCGATTTTAAAATGCCGCCCGCCAGCATTTTAAGATCGCCCGGACAGCGGAGAAGTCCTCCGCTGTCCCAGGGTTTTTTAAAATGCTGGGGGTGGGAAGAAAAGCCCTTGTCCCCCCCCCCCCAGCCTTCAGAAGAGGTCCGGGGACAGTCTGTCCCCGGACCTGGTCTGAAGGCGGTTTCCCTAGGAACGCATTAATTGATTTTCAATGCATTCCTATGGGAAACCATGCATCGCAAGACGAAAAAACCGTAAGACGAAGAGACTTGCGGAACGAATTAATTTCGTCTTGCGAGGCACCACTGTATTATTATTTTAATTAATTCTTAGACTCCATTTCTGCAAAAGTTAGTTCAGGCACAGAGATCTGCTCTATGCTCTTTCCTGTGAAGACAGAGACAAAGTGTATTTGATACAGTTTTTCTGGCTTTGGTTTCAAAAAGGGGTTGGTTTCTAGCATCTGACTTGATACAGCTGAATTGGCAGAATAAGTAAGTTTCCGATGGATATAAGATTATAATATTCTTAACTCTCTAAGTACTTAGACTAATCTCTAAGTACTAGGTGTGCTTTGAGACATGAGTTGGAAAAAACACAACATAAATAATACAGCCACAAAAACCAGTTAGCTTTCTTTTTTCTTAGAAAGTTGTAGCAATTTGGTAAGATGCCTGTTACTGAAATCTATTTTAATAAAATACTTTGTGGACCTGCAGGTAATTTAGTTCATGTCAATGGAAATACACCAGTATGAGGGAGTCATAATGTAGCCTGGGTTGATATTGGGCTAAGATACGTTAAGGTGCCAGATGACATATTCCCTGTTCTATTAGGCTTTAATTGCCTTTGATGATTTTTAATGGTTACAGATATCCCTTAATGGATTGCTTACAACTCATTCCCTTTTTAGTCGGCTATGTTGTTTGCTACTGTTCTTTTGTATTATGCTTTGAAATGCGGGATATAAATCCCTCCAAACATATAAATAGTCATCACGCTTCCTACATGTTCAGCTTCTGTTTGCTTATCTATTGACAATCTCTTTTATCTGATTATTTTCAACTTGCAGTGCAATTCTCTATGCTGTATTCACGATCAAATGATTTCTCCTCCGTTTGGAACTCTTATCTTTCAGATGCGCTGTATTTATATAGCATGTACTTTGGTTTGATTACTTATTTGAAAGGTAGAACTTTTCCTCCTGTTTATGATTGAGTGTCATGATTGTAGATAACACATGCCAATGATAAAATAATAGTTCTTGTTTGTAAATAGGTTCATACTGAATTTTAATTACTTTCTTCCAGGTATTGCTTCTATGACAGTCCCAGTATACATTGCAGAAGTTGCTCCACCTCATCTAAGAGGCAGATTAGTTACTATAAACACACTCTTCATCACAGGAGGACAGTTCTTTGCAAGCGTTATAGATGGAGCCTTCAGTTATCTTCCAAAGGATGGATGGAGGTTAGTGTAATCTTTTTGTTTGTTATTGAAAGTAAAGTTAGAGCTGCACTGCCATTTAGATTCACATGCTCTGTGTGTGAAATGTGTGTGTAGTACACACAGATATTTATTTGTATACACACATGATATAGATACATTTTTTGTTGGCAATGTCTTTTGTACTCTTTAGTGAAAAAAATTAATTACCCTTTCTAAATCACAATAAGGAGGAATAATAATAATAATAATAATAATAATAATAATAGGTGACAAAGAAACTATCCAAATGTGTTATATTTTACAGATTACATTTTTATTTTAAACCCAACAATTTTAGATGCAAATCTAAATGATTTAAATGTAGACTTTGTTTTTGTACACTTGGAATCTTCCTCTTTGTGGTTTTAAGTTGGTGCCCTCAGAATGCTAATTGGCTTTGAATAATGGCAGCAAATCCAGCTGAAATTTACTAATGGATTGAATTAAGGAGCTACAGATTTTATCTTTCAACATTGTAATTTGCAGGGTGGCAAGATCTATAGCAAATGTAATCAAGATGCATGCTAGCTTTCTATGGTTCTCAGTACAACATCATGTAAAGTCTTGATTCTTCTGTTACCCAGAGAACTAATTTTAAGAATCCCCAAAGCTAAAAAATTTTTTTTTAATTGCTTGGTTTTGAATAGACCATCTTCTGTCTGTGATCTAGAAAAATCATTAAATGTAGCAATAGCCACCAGCTTGGATGGCTTCAAAAGATGTCAGATGCGGATGGTGGTTGCTTGTGAGTAACCAGGCAGGACTCCGACCTGTCTTTTGCGGGTTTTATTGGTGCAAACTATTTACAGTTCATAACCACAAAGTTCATGTCTGTCTTAGTCACTTGCAGAATCCGGGAGTGGTCCCTTCCAGCTTCTCCCCCAACATAAGAACTTAGACACCCCAAACCTTCCTCCCCTCCTTGAGTTTCACATCCCTGTGCAAGCTGGGCGACGGAAGTGGCGCACGTCCCTCCTGGCCAGCCGGGCTAGGTGAGGCGCTTGGGCTCTCAGTAGCATCTTCAAGCTCTCTCCTCGCTTGGCTGGCCCCTTCCCTCTCTGCTCCACTTGAGGTGAGGCTCTCTGTATTCCCCTGCCTCCCTCCCCTGTTCCGATGGCAGTCCCCTGACACAGGACAATTGTGATTGTCTTCTATATTAGATCCATAATGGGAGAGAATAATATGTCAGCTGTCATGCCACCGTAGTTGTAGGCCTCCTTAGTTGGTCTGGAGTTGCATTTGTTCAGCGTATTTGCTGTTTGATACATGTAAATAATTGTAGTTCTCAATCTAATATAAGTTAACTTTGGGCTAAGTTTATGTTATCTAACAGTAATTGAAATAACTGATTTGCAAACAGCAATGTTAAAATTATGTCTGCAGGGAACAACTGTTAAAGAGTTCTTGGAATCGTCTGATATGGAAATCTCAGGATATAAACTATGTTACCTCCATCTGCTTATTTAGAGAAATACTGAGTGTATTCAGAAAGCGGCTTAAAGCCTTGCTGTTCTTTATGGAGAGAATCTTGATAAATTTGCATTAAAAATGTTTTTTTTTTCTTTCCCCCAGATATATGTTGGGCCTCTCGGCAGTTCCAGCTGTAATACAGTTTTTTGGCTTCCTCTTTCTTCCTGAAAGCCCCCGTTGGCTTATTCAAAAAGGACAGACTCAAAAGGCACGAAGAATCCTGTCTCTGATGCGGGGTAATCAAACAATAGATGAAGAATATGATAGCATCAAGAATAACATAGAAGAGGAAGAAAAAGAAGTTGGTGCAGGTAAGGCTGAATTTCTGCTTTCTTTGTACATTTATTAATGAGTGACAATCAGGCTGTGACAGTGTTAACAGCATTCTAGGTTAGTTTGAAATAGATTTGATATTATTATTATTATTATTATTATTATTATTATTATTATTATTACTACACTATTATTTATATAGTACCTGCAGGACTCAGGGCACTTCTCAACTTATAATCACAATATAAAAACACAAAATACATAATAACAATAAAAACAAGAAGAACCAATAATTTGCAACCCATGGTTTCAGGCAATCCTAATTGGTGCACAGCGGGTGGCGCTGTGGGTAAAAGCCTCAGCGCCTAGGGCTTGCCGATTGAAAGGTCGGCGGTTCGAATCCCCGCGGCGGGGTGCGCTCCCGTTGTTCGGTCCCAGCGCCTGCCAACCTAGCAGTTCGAAAGCACCCCCGGGTGCAAGTAGATAAATAGGGACCGCTTACTAGCGGGAAGGCAAACGGTGTTCCGTGTGCAGCTCTGGCTCACCAGAGCAGCGATGTCACGCTGGCCACGTGACCCGGAAGTGTCTCCGGACAGCACTGGCCCCCGGCCTCTTGAGTGAGATGGGCGCACAACCCTAGAGTCTGTCAAGACTGGCCCGTACGGGTAGGGGTACCTTTACCTTAATTGGTTCTAACCATACTCCCAGTGAAAATAAGATTAAACTAAGCTCTATGCTTTATACAGCCTTGCTCCTACATCGAATTCTATTGGTATTTTTCAGAAGAAATTAATATATTAATATCAGACTTGGTTCCGTACTTTAACATAATGAAATTATAATTGTCTTAAGAATTGCTAATGAGTTTCAAGGATTCAGTTAAACAGGGGAAGCCAATATAATAATCAGCCATATATACTTTTTCAAACAAATTACCGTATTTTTCTCTCTATTACACGCAGATTTTTTCTCCTAAAAAGGAAGGGGAAATGTCTGTGCGTGTTATGGAGCGAATGTGTGTGGGGGGGTCCCTGGAGCCGAATAGGGGAGCGCAGGAACAAAAATCAGCAAAAATCAACCGTGCGTTGTGTCGGAGAGGGAAACCTGAAAAGAGGAAGTGGTTGCTTTCCTGCATTCTGCCTCAGGGTCTTACTGCCCACCCTCCTCTGTTTCGTTGCTGTGTTTGCTCAAACGGAACAAAGAGCAGGCAAATCCCCTCCCCTCCAGGCAAGCAGAGGGGAAAGCAGAGGTCTTTCCTTCTAATTCCTCTCCTTGCTCCTCGTGCTCCTTGCAGGCAGCCAGAAAACATGGAGGAGGAGAGAGAAAGCTGGCTTCGGTTTGTGGAAACTTTTGCCTTTCTTTCCTCCCTCCCGTAAAATCTCTCTCCTGCTTTCTTAGCCAGCTGCTTCTCTGCACACCGCTCTCTTGTCCCTTCTGTGTTTTTCCTTCACTCCCCACTTAAAATGTAGTTACAAAGCATGGATCCACATGGATCCTCAGGATCTTTGCATTGGGCCACCCCAAATTCACCATCAGATCACATAGCAGCCTGCCCCCCAAAAATCACACACCCACTGTTGCCTGGGGCTGCAATGGTGCAAAAACGTGGTTAAAAAGCATGGATCCACATGGATCCTCAGGATCTTTGCATTGGGCCACCCCAAATTCACCATCAGATCACATAGCAGCCTGCCCCCCCAAAATCACACACCCACTGTTGCCTGGGGCTGCAATGGTGCAAAAACGTGGTTAAAAAGCATGGATCCACATGGATCCTCAGGATCTTTGCATTGGGCCACCCCAAATTCACCATCAGATCACATAGCAGCCTGCCCCCCAAAAATCACACACCCACTGTTGCCTGGGGCTGCAATGGTGCAAAAATGTCGTTAAAAAGCATGGATCCACATGGATCCTCAGGATCTTTGCATTGGGCCACCCCAAATTCACCATCAGATCACATAGCAGCCTGCCCCCCAAAAATCACACACCCACTGTTGCCTGGGGCTGCAATGGTGCAAAAATGTGGTTAAAAAGCATGGATCCACATGGATCCTCAGGATCTTTGCATTGAGCTACCCCAAATTCACCATCAGATCACATGTCTGTGGCCACAGCATGAAGCACAAAAATGATACATCCACTGTTTCATTCAGAATTTTTTTCCTTGTTTTCCTCCTCTAAAAACGATGTGCGTGTTATGGTCAGGTGCGTGTTATAGAGCGAAAAATACGGTAATAATTTGAAGGATAATTTTTGTTCTGTTCTCAATTGACTGGGTGTATATATTCTAATTGTCACAACCTAATTATATAATTGCTTGTCAGGAGTAACTCACAAGTGCACGCTAGCTCTGATATCCTTCAACTGCGATATTAAAACTTGGGATTCTACAGTGACCTTTCAGTCTGTTGCCTCCCTTTATTCGCAGTGGATTTTGACGTGTGAGGTTCCCAGTATGGTTACAAAGAAATAAAGGCTGGCAAATTCCAACTAGCATATTGAATTCTCGTGAGTTGCTTCTGTTAGCTTTTGGGTCATGCAAATTATACTTGCCTTATACAGCCACTTCTGTGCATTTTCTATAACCAAACTGGAGTGAGACTTCAGTCATAGTGAACATGTTCGTGAACGGAAGAAACTTTTCAACCCATGCTACTAGTGTTTGAACTTCCCCATTTATACCAGTCTCTATTAGAGTTTATTTAACAGGATTAGGTTTTTTAATCTGTTAAAAAGTATATAAACATGGACTGGCAGCGTACAGTACTGATCCAGTGGTAGGGAATTGCAAGAGGAAGATTTATGTTTTAGATCAGGGGTCAGCAAACTTTTTCAGCAGGGGGCCAGTCCACTGTCCCTCAGACCGGACTATATTTTGAAAAAAACAATATGAACGAATTCCTATGCCCCACAAATAACCCAGTGATGCATTTTAAATAAAAGCACACATTCTACTCATGTAAAAACACCAGGCAGGCCCCACAAATAATCCGGAGATGCATTTTAAATAAAAGGACACATTCTACTCATGTAAAAACGCGCTGATTCCCGACTGTCCACAGGCCAGATTTAGAAGGTGATTGGGCCGGATCTGGCCCCTGGGCCGTAGTTTGCCTACCCATGTTTTAGATGCTTCTTCAGAGAGAAGGTGGGTTGGTCAATTGTTGTTATCAAATGAGCCTTGCCAACTAGGGGGAAATCCACTGATGCTTCTACAGGTGATCCCACTGGCTGCTCTGGGATAGAAAGGTTAAGGTGGTCTCTGAGGTAGCTTGGACCTAAATGGTCCAGGGCTTTGTAATTCAATCCAAGGACCTTGAACTTGGCTTTGTAGTAGATGGGCAGCCAGTGCAGATTCTTCAACAATGCTTTCATATGTTGTCAGCCAGATGCCCCCATGAGCTCCCAGTACGTTTCTGAGCACAATTCAAAGTGTTGGTGCTGACCTTTAAAGCCCTAAACGGCCTCGGTCCAGTATATCTGAAGGAGCGTCTCCACCCCCATCGTTCTGCCCGGATGCTGAGGTCCAGCGCCGAGGGCCTTCTGGCGGTTACAGGGAACCAGGCAGAGGGCCTTCTCCGTAGTGGCGCCCTCCCTGTGGAACGCCCTCCCACCAGATGTCAAAGAGAACAACAATTACCAGACTTTTAGAAGACATCTGAAGGCAGCCCTGTTTAGGGAAGCTTTTAATGTTTGATGTATTACAGTATTTTAATATTTTTTTGGAAGCCGCCTAGAGTGGCTGGGGTATAAATAATAAATTATTATTATTATTATTATTATTATTATTATTATTATTATTTGGCTGCTGCATTCTGCACCAGCTGGCGCTTCCATACCAGGCTCCAAGGACAGCCCCACGTAGAGGCATTGCAGTAATCCAGCCTTGAGGTTACCAACACATGGGCTATAGTTGGTGGCCCTGTAAGGAGGATGCTGTGAAGCAGTCCAACTGGAGCAGGCAGTGAGGTGATCTTTTCCACCCCAAGCCTTCATTACTTGGCCCCAAGATAATGACACAGGATGAAAAACTTGAATGCAGTTTGTAGTTTGACTGCTGCTTCTACCACAGCAGTTCCCAGTGCAGGAAAAAGGGGGTGAAATCTTAAAATCTGCAAAACAGCCTATCTCTTCTGTGGCCTGTGTTTACAGATCCCCATGCAAGTGTTTCGGTTTCTTTGGATTGTGGCTGTTATCTCGGCTGTGATCCAGAAAGCCCCCCCACAACTAGTTCTGCGTGCCAAGAGGTTTTGGCTTCTCTTTTTGTGAATTGAAACTGTGCAGTATTGCAAACCACTTCTGAAACCATGTGGACTTTTAAAGAGCTGTTTGTGTTAAGTCTCCGGGGTCTGTAGCTAAAAAAAAAATAATCCTCTGGGCTTGCCCAAACTGTGCTGCTTAATGTTGCTGTTTGGCGTCTAGCCCATGATGATTTTTCCATGGAGAGATGTGGGTCTGACATAAGAGTGTTAAACTGAATCATAGGTTAAGTTTTTTTTATGCATTTACTAACTTGCAGTTCTGCACACTAAATATAGTAGTACCTCGGGTTACGGACGCTTCAGGTTACATACGCTTCAGGTTACAGACTCCACTAACCCAGAAATAAATAGTGCTTCAGGTTAAGAACTTTGCTTCAGGATGAGAACAGAAATTGTGCTCCGGCGATGTGGCAGCAGCAGGAGGCCCCATTAGCTAAAGTGGTGCTTCAGGTTAAGAACAGTTTCAGGTTAAGTACGGACCTCCGGAACGAATTAAGTACTTTACCCAAGGTACCACGGTATGTAACATAATATTATGTGCTGTTGACCATAAGAGGGAAATGGCTTATGGCTTTTTCTTGGATCAGAGTTTATTCTAAAAATGGAAATAAAATAAAATTATTGTGATTCAAGGGTTGTTATATGCTTGTGTTGAGATGTTATCAATTTTTGTTTTTCTCATTGATGGTAAAATGGGGTTTCTTAAAAATGACACAAGAAGTTCCTTCTGGTACTGTACCCAAATAATTGTTTAGGGGAAATATATTTTTCTT